TAGGGTATGTTTCCCAATGAAATTATGTTCTTACAGATGCCAATCAAGACACGTAACTCCAATATGTGGTGTATAGCATAGGATTCAGTCTTTTCTGTGGGCCGAAGAACACAACACTGTATAAACATCTCCACATTTCGGTATGACATTCCACACGGGGTAAACGTCAGGGAAGGCGGCAGTTACTTCATCTCATCGTCAACTGTATCGGGGTTGATATTCCACATTACGAAATCCCCCTGACATTTGATGAATCAGTTTGAAATATTATACCATGGTTATTTTCTTTAAGCGCTGGGAAAATGTATAAAAGTCAGGATTCATGGTGATATATTTATATCCAACAAAGTGGCTGTTACTGTGGCTACGAAAGTAAATACGTTACCCCGCGGGTGGTACTTTGGGACATACAAGGGTCATCGTGGGAGACCGTAGCCAATCACCTATGTCACGGGTCACGTGAATTAATCTCCGGGTGCTGTGATATACGCGTAAGATGATGTACATGGCATGGAGGGCGTCTTCATCACTGTGGGGGTGCGGCATCACAACAAAGCTTACTCCGCACAGTAACGACCCAGAGGTCTCCTGTGTCACGTGATCTGGTGTAGGTTATGTCGGGGGTTGGCAGCTCCCACTCGATTCACTGTTCAGGATAGCATTACCATTTTATATGTCATCGTACTCGTTCGTTCGTTCGTTCGTTCGTTCGTTCGGAAACGTAATTTACGATTAATTTTGAAATATACAGGTCATCGGATCAAAGCTAATCGCTGTTGTTTTTTTTCAGATTTCGGTTGTAAATCAAATCACAAAATACAGAAATGTTCAATGACCACCAGAAACCCAAAATGCTGCTTTTCACTGTACATATGTAGTTGCCTCGTGTCAGCAGGTATCATACCAGCGTAACACTAGAAGCACCCGAACTTAAATTATTAGTTTACTGAGGGTACATACACGACCTAAAACAACAAACATCTATGAAAAGAAGGATTCCACTAAATCTTGGATTAGCAACTCAACACGGATCGATGTCAAACAACGAAAGCGGTAATCCTTGGTGGAGACTTGCGAGTGTGTTAGCCTGTCCGTCTAGACGGGTTACTGTCCGGTCCGAGTCAACTGGACCGTGGTCTATACCTTATACGTTTCAATATACTATGTGTATATAGTCAGCTCCGTGGGGGTATCTAGCCTGCAGTCAGTGTACGTACAGCAGAACACATTATTGTACTGCTTGTGTACAGTTTACCATTCACGTTCTTGTGTGCTGTATGTTCGCTTACAGATGAATTACCTCTGTACATATATGCTTGCCAGGCCTTACCTTGGGCAGTGTTGGTACGGGCATCTAAACTTGACGTGGGACGTTTATCAGTTGTTGTTTTACATAACTAAACTCACTGCTGATACTATCTAACTTACTGATCTGTCGCTTTCAAATCAAAATCTCAATTGTAAGGGGTAACATTGGCAATGATAAGCAATATATATATGTAGACTGATAAATTAAATCATGAGGGTAGTCTTTGGAACGCGACGGGAACAACCGACAGCTGCATCTGATGCAAACATGTTGACTGTGCACGTGAGACGACATCCTCGTCACCTCGTCAACTATGACCGGCCAATTACTGTTATCTGTCATTGGAGCAGAGGTATATATGTAATACTGATATGTAACCTAAGTATTTATCTGAACAGCAACACCGCATTTGCCTGTCAACAGATATCCACTCTAGATGCATTGTAATTTTTCTATCCCCCTCCCCAACCCCGACACCACAGTGATCACCCTATCTTAATCAAGAGTCATTTTGTTATAGAGATGTATGTCATCTGGCATATTCAGCTACAGGCGAGTGTTACAGCCATGTTAGCCCGGTGAGACGCGGGGGCATCTACTCATTGATGTGAATCTAGGAGCGTCATTATTTCCAGCATCTGTCATGACTGTATGGGTCTAGACGAGGCTGCACATACCATAAATAGCATGCCCAGAGAACTTACTCAAGTGTATGTATATTACAATAGTGTTGTTTACAGCGACACGCGGGTCAACATACTAAGCTGAATTGATAGGCGACCCATGAAATTAACAAACCTGTATGTTATTATTCCGATGTTTCTCGGTGTTGGTTGTGACAAGGATGTACATCATTAGGTAGATGAGTGCAGGGCCCTCCACCAGGGTACGTGCGTCAAAGCACTGTACAGCCAGGCTGCGCAGGGTGCAGGTGGAGGGTAACAACACGCTTCATAGATTAGAACCACAGCCGCCTGCTGCCCATCAGTGTGGAGAGAGACGGCGAATGTAGGTTTGAATGAAAGTCCACACATTCACATTGATTAACTGCTGTTTCGCGTGGTCAGTTATGTTGAAGATAATTCCGTCAGTATTATATAGCATTATTTCGGTAGTCCATGTTTTAAGGTAATCTTGAAACCGTACAAAGATTTGACTGCTCTCCTAATATAAATGATCTTAACACAAGCTTAACCATTTTCATTCCTGATTTGAAATTACGTACATGTTTGACATGAGGTTGAGGTGGTGACAGAATTACTGAATTACTATTATCTGCTATAGTTCTGTCTATCTTTGCTGATAACAAGGCGGGGATTGCCGTAGAGGACGTTTCACGCTTCAGTCGGTAATAATCCCGATATGTCACGACTGTGTGTAAATATCGAGCCTAGCCAGGCAACCCAGTGGTTGATAGCATGAACAAGGTCTTATGATAGCGGTTGGCGATCTGACCAAAAACTAAAATTGCCTGATCACGAAAGCATGTTTCGGTGTTTACATTGTAACAGAACAACACTTGTAAGCGGGTGTGGGACAAAAGTAAAATATCCCAGATACCCAACTTAACAAACCCTATCTGAGCCATAATATTTGATATACCGACCGTGCATTGTGAAGTCGCTGTTCCAGCGTTACACCAACACTATGAGCAAACTGGAGATCGTATAACGGCGGTCGAGTTTCGTGTTATATATATACTTGGTATCAGCTTTCATCAAACACAATTTACTGTTTCAACATTGGTGATCGAGTGGACATCATTACTGGACACTGTCATCCTCGTCGGTATTTTCCCACGGCCAACATGACACAGCCAGTCTGCAAACAGGCAACGCCCTCTCTGGATATGTACAAAGAGGAATGTTGAGAAGCTGTCTTCTTGACCACTACGTATTGTTTATTGCTATCAGGTGAAGGGTTAAGCCATCGGGCACACGCGAATATTCGAATTAATGTGGTCAGTGCTGACCTGAGCACCTGTACAAGTGACCATTGATGGTTGGTCAGTTGGAGACGAACAAAAGCAGGTCCGTAGCATAGGCCAGGGGTTAAATGACTGGCATCTTGGATAAATCGCCACGAAGAGACGTGTAATCCGTTCTCTTAAATCAAACTAGCACTACAGTGCAACCGTGTCTCGTCCACGTAGTCCAAAGCCATTTCGCTTGATTTAAGAACTATTTTGTTCTACCAAATACCAAATTACAATTGATGTCAGAAAAACATTATCTCCCGCCACCTAATCTCTAAAACCCCAGGGGCGTGAACACATTGCCCTTCTAGAAGCACAAGGTATAGCGTGGACACGCGTTCTTTAACAGATGGATCATACTGGCAGTGTCAGTGCGTTGGTCCGCGTCATTGTGCTCTTACAGACCTTTTACCATAATATCTGCGTCAGGAACTGCAGTTACATGTGTATCAGGTTATTATCTCGGTCAAAAAGTAGAGTTTGACAAACACTTGACTACCGTTAATACATGTCTATCTATTTTGTTAACAACGCATAAGGGATTATCCAGTATCAATTTACTACGCATACATGAACATTAGGGAATGTTTGAAAATTACAAATAAACCAAAATGTAAGCAGTCAATACACTGGTACACTGGTACATCGACACAGGTGGGTGGCAAGCATCATCGAACCATATAGCACATCTTGTACGACCGCAGTTGTCCTTACGCCTGCCCCTGACCCTGTTAACCCCAATTAAACGACCCTCAGACCGTCAATAATGACTTTAATCCAACATATTACATTAAAGCTGTGAGTAATACAACCATTGCTGTCATTTAAAAACAAGACAAAGGTGTCAAAATAAACCCATTACGTTGTGGAGTGGGTCTCGACTCGTGTCGGGGTGGGTTAAGTGTGACAGGCTCTGTTATCTTGCCCGGGGGTCACAGATTTGCCCGGTGGTCGGGTGTTCTAAACAATGGCTGGAATGGTGCATGTACCTGGATGGGTGATTTAGTGGAAATCACACTGGACAATATGAAACTTACAGCACACTCATGGACGAAATATGTCCAGAAGTAGCCACACACTATATACAGGGGACGGGTAATTGCCATCTTCCAATCAGTACAACTCTACGCTGATTCGTCTTGTCATGTGAATAAGTGACATATTCCCCCACAAAACGATACACTGAATGTAGTCCTTGGACAGGTTAACGATGAATACATACAGTTACGCTGACACAGCTCTGCACAATGTTTGTAACACTAATACATAACGGCATTATGTATTCCGACACCAATAACCAACAGTAGACATATGGTCTGAGCGTATGTTTATAGAGGCCTCTTGAGAATTATGTACAAATGATTATAAGTATTTGCCCCCCTCCTCATAGATAGTATGATAGTTCTTGAGATATATAAGTATTAGTAGGGGGTCACGTCCTCCCCTAAACGCCCATCTTGATGCCGCATCTGTGAGAGCTGTGAGTGATGAGGCTTCCAGACAGATCGCATCTAAATGTAAATGATGGACGGTAGGTACGTAGTGTCCCAAACAACAGGGTGCTGCATATACCCGTCTTGGAGAAAGAGGGGCAGAAGAGGAGAGGGTGTGTGTGTGTCAGGGTGGGATATGGAGGCGGGTGGTTATTGGGGTGGGATGTGTTGGATGAGAATCGAGCAAGACTTGTGTTGTGTTGTGTTCACCAGCTTTACTTACCGTCGGGGACGGAGCGGGTCTTCTTGATGTAGTCCACTGTCATTTCCAAAATGTCCGCCTTTTCAAGCTTACTGGGTCTTGGACCCTGCAAATAATAAAAAAATGCATTTTCTCTCGACCATTGTGTTTCACCGTAGAGATCTAGTGTTTTAAACTTTCAAAATGAAAGCAGATGCTTATTATATATGTCTTTGCACCTGATAAGATTGAACCAAGCTCCCACTAACTTGTGAAGAAACACGTCTACTTTCCCTGCCACACGGTTGTATAGGGATGCTAATGGTGGGCGGTGGTGAAAATGTCGAAAACAGATTTCGTATAATAATAAACAAATAAAACACTTGTATGATACACATTCAACTCAACTCCTGCAACCTGAGTGAATACTGTCAGTAAAGTTGTCAGTGTACTGTACTTGCTGTACTGTGCAGCGTGGTGTTTATGTGGCGTCCTCAACATCACACCCAACCCCACCCCCAACAACACCCCAAACCCCAATCCCAACCCCAACAACACACCCAAACCCACCCCCAACAACACATACAACCCCGTCCACCACCCAAATCAATGTGTAATGTGGAACACAAACAAAAGAAACAGTCGAAATAAGTGTGGTAATATTTCGGACTTCAAAACAGTTCACATTCTCAATATTATGTGGGTCATTCGACTGAGATGTATCATTTAGTGGTCGTTGAAATATTGGACAACCGCATCAATATTAACATTCACTCTGTGTCATTTCCAAGGTGCACATAGACCCCAATTTGTCTGACGTTGTGGTGGAGAACTGAGAATACCCTGTAAAGGGATATGACCATGAGTAGGGCGGGCTGATGCCACACAGTTGTTATGTGACTTCATCTTCTTCGAGACGACTTTAAGGGGAAGAGCTTGCACGGTGTGGTTTTAAAACAGCTTATGGCATTGTTTCCTCTAGCAATCCCCGGCACTTATCTGGAACCCCTGGAACATGACCGCTACACTTACACCACCAAAAAGTTCTCAGCAGACATTTGTAAGCTCTTTCAATTGATTTAGTGGAACAGTTACATTGGAAATATTCTGTACTGAAATCAAAGATGGCGGATTAATTTTCATTAGACGAGTTATCTTTCTATGTTGCCCCTCGTTTTCTCCTATAAATGTCTGTCGTGACACGTCCAAGCGCTTCTCGTCTTGAAATAAGCCATTAATTTAGCCTAACGTATTGTTGATTTCTGTCTTGGCATGATTTGGATTCTGCTGTGTTTGGCGATGTATGTTTTGACGGATGACAGAAAACATTTACCTACCACAACAAGCAACAATTAACGATTGGGGTGCTACAAACAGACTTTACAACAGGCTGTTAAACTTGCTTCCTCCTGCGACACGGCGGCTCCGACACTTGGAAAAGGACAGCTTAGTATATGCATGCAACTTAGTAACAATAAAATCTTTACGAAACGGGAATGAGTTTGACCGAAATGCTTTATATCAGGATACAAAGTTTCAGATTGTCAGATTGGCAGCTGACTTAATATTATGTAAATTTTGAGAAGGGATGACAATTTTATTATTTATTCTAAACATCTGCAATTTAAAAAAAATACGCATCCTTGATGGACAGACAAACCGTTCCCTGAGTCTGAGTGTGCACAAAGCACCAGGGGCACTAAATAATAACCATAATTACAAGGTGGGGCCTTCTCTACTTCCATTAAGTGAAAACATTTCTTCTTTAAGTCTCCTTTATGTGAGATATGATAAGCATGGTCCATTATAGTACCTTTCGTCTGTCGTGCTTATTGTGATTTACGGCAGATACAGCATGTACGTGCTCTTTGACATGTTCTAAAACCTCGGACAAGCTTTTGGCTGGCTCACCAAACTCCAAACACTGCTCGACACTTTAACATTTCTTCAACATATTGAAAGACGATGATTCCACGGCTTGAAGGCATATGAATTCCTTGCTATTGTAGCGACCAAGCTATACATGAATTAATATGATGATATATATAAATGGACTTTATATCAATTAATATACCCATTCGCATGTTGTTCAACACTTGGTCACGTACTTGCTCCTGATCAAAGTTCAAGTAGCTCATTAAAGCATTTCTGAGAAAAAAAACATACAAAGAGTAGGAAATCCGTTTTTTAAACGGTTAAGGGATCCTCGAAAAGTAAGAACGTGAAAGAGACACACTCAGGTAATGGCTGGGTGTACATCGTGATGTCAGGATATTTCGAAATAAAATTGTGATCTTAAGCTATAACGCAGATTGACGATGTATTTATGTAGTCCAAGGGTCGCGGAGGTCATCCACAGGACAAGACAAGTTTCCTCCAGTGCTGGCTGACGTCATGACCCCCCCCCCCCCCCCCCCCCCCCCCCAACACCCCACCCCACCCCCACCAGCCCGGGGCCATGATTTCAACGTATAGCACAGTCTGTCACAAACACTAACCCTTTTTAGGGCAACGGATGCTATTTTAATGACTTTTATTCACAACGTAAATGTCGTTTGAAGAAGGTTGTCGTCATTCTATGGTAGCGATAAATCCTGAAAGTTAAAACAATGAAACTGCAGAGTATTAACGCATCAGGTTAAAACAAAACCACAATTATTGATAGAACAAACGGTTCCCGTTTAAGAAACACTGCAGATTTTCTGCAGCGAACGTACATCGTTAATAACAGTTTCATATTGGACCATGTAACAATTCATTAACACCATACCTCGATCTATGTACCATATGTTAACACCCATACCTCGATCTATGTACCATATGCTAACACCCTGGCCTTGATCTATGTACCATATGCTAACGCCCATACCTCGATCTATGTACCATATGCTAACACCCATACCTCGATCTATGTACCATATGCTAACACCCTGGCCTTGATCTATGTACCCATAATATTTATGGAGTCATACGTTAACATCCAGATCTCGATTAATGTAGTCTCTCTTCTTACATGTGAGCCAATGGCCCACGTTTACATTTGATAACATGACAAAATATTTGTAAAATAAAAATTGACAAGGTACAGAATATATGACAGTATACCCATAGAATTGTTTTACGTTGGAGCATAGCCTGATAAATGACCATAATATATATACTCAATATAACCATAATTATACAATTTACATAACCGATCACTTTATTAAATATTAACAAAATGCAGTTGTCGTGAAAAACATAGAGATTTTGTTAGAGTCACTTTATTTTTTTTGACAGATATACAGTTGAAAACCTTCTTAAAAAAATTTCTTTTCTTTTATCCAAATCAACATCTAAAACATTATCAATATAGTATTCTTCCAAAGCATTAATTCGTTTCTGCAAACCCCTTAAAGTATCTGAAATAAGGGTTATATCATCTGCGAATTCCATAAGAAAAGTGAATTCTGGTTGGAATCTTTCCTTAATTTCGATTGCTGATTTGTTAGTAAAAATATAGGATACAAACGGATTTCAGGTGAACACAGAATCATTTCAGAAAATGAGTTATCAAACTTAACACGAGATTTAGGGAGATGCTCCTCTTTCCTTTAAGAATAACCACAATTTCATGCGATTATCACTGTCAAACACTTTGGAAAAATCAACAAACAGTGCATGATAAATTATTTGTTGTTTACATCGATATTTTTCAATAATAGACTGTAACATATAACAAAACTGTCAACCGTCGAATACCCATGTCTATTCTACAATGTTACCATACACACCACACCAATATGCTGATGTTCTGCTAGAATAGACGCGTTCCGTGTACTTGCTACGCTTAGAATTGATACATCTCTGTAGTCGAATGGACGGCTTGTATCTCCATGCTTGTGCAAAGGAACAATTAATCCAACTTACCAAGACTCCGTGAAGTACTCATTCTCAAACAATACATTAAATAATACTCGAAGATAGGGGGAAAGAATATCACTGGTATATTTCAAGAACTCAGCAATCAATATATCCTTGTCAGGTGAGTTTCCACATTTCAAGGTGTCAATAATATTGAATACTTTTTCACGTGATACTGTAGAGTCTAAAATAATGTGGGATATTTCATCTCAGCTATCAGAAAAAATTCATGTCAACAGTGTCAGTAGCCTCTTGAACCGTCTATATAATATATATATATATATATATATAAAAAACATGAGTCACCTATTGATTCAATGATAGGTTTGGTTTCGTGTTGTTAGATAATGACTCAAGTTATCAGCTTTCTTGCAATGTTTTCACCCATATTTGTAGTCAATGCATTCAAAGTTTAACCATGGCGATGAAGCATCATCTATCGGTTTTTCAATCTTGTCATACACTTGGCAGCTTCACAGATGCTATCCGAAAATACACCAATTGCATTATCGATATTTTCCAATAACAATACCGAACACTGTTCCAATCTGTAAATAATAGCAGGTAACAATAAATCTGTAAAATGCTGCGGTTTTTTTTGGCTGTACATAACCTTGTTAAAATCAAGTCCTAGGTCTGTGTACCCATATGTTAACATCCATAGATAGGTCTGTACATAAACTTGTTAACATCAAGTCCTAGGTCAGTGTACCCATATGTTAACATCCATAGATTAGTCTGTACATAAACTTGTTAACAACAAGTCCTAGGTCTGTGTACCCATATGTTAACATCCATAGATTGGTCTGTATATAAACCTGTTAACATCAAGTCCTGGGTCTGTGTACCTATATGTAAACATCCATAGATTGGTCTGTACATAAACCTGTTAACATCAAGTCCTAGGTCTGTGTACCCATATGTTAACATCCATAGATTGGTCTGTACATAAACCTGTTAACATCAAGTCCTAGGTCAGTGTACCCATATGTTAACATCCATAGATAGGTCTGTACATAAACCTGTTAACATCAAGTCCTAGGCCTGTGTACCTATATGTTAACATCCATAGATTGGTCTGTTTATAAACTTGTTAACATCAAGTCCTAGGTCTGTGTACCAATATGTTAACATCCATAGATTGCTCTGTACATAACCTGTTAACATCAAGTCCTAGGTCTGTGTACCCATATGTTAACATCCATAGATTGGTCTGTACATAAACCTGTTAACATTAAGTCCTAGGTCTGTGTACCCATATGTTAACATCCATAGATTGGTCTGTACATAAACTTGTTAACATCAAGTCCTAGGTCAGTGTACCCATATGTTAACATCCAAAGATTGCTCTGTACATAAACCTGTTAACATCAAGTCCTAGGTCCGTGTACCCATATGTTAACATCCATAGATAGGTCTGTACATAAACCTGTTAACATCAAGTCCTAGGTCTGTGTACCCATATGTTGACATTCTTAGATAGATCTGTACATAAACCTGTTAACATCAAGTCCTAGGTCTGTGTACCCATATGTTAACATCCATAGATTGTTCACGTCAAGTCCTAGGTCTGTGAACCCATGTGTTAACATCCATAGATGGGTCTGTACATAAACATGTTAACATTCAATCCTTGTGCTGTGTACACAGATACTAACATCCTGTGCTTAAATGTTAGACAAACTTGTGCGTTTCACCTGTACTCAAGATATTAGCCCTGTATCCATCCGGCAGTAGAAGCTATGCATCCACACCACGTATTGAACTACAAATAAACTATTTACCTCCAGATTGTATTACCAGTTAAATCCTCAACTCTCCTGCAGGTTGGACAAGTCACATAGATAACCATGGCCCTAGTAAGTGGAGCGATCAGGGCAATAATCTATGTCATTTCCCAGCCTCAGAATTTCCAATAAAACACCATTTCGGATTAGTAGTTGATCCCTTGTATTTTATATTAGCCCTATCCGTCATCTCTATCATTTAAATTGCTTGAAAAAATTTCCAAAAAGTATAATAAAATCCCTGCTCTTATCACGATGGCGGGAAACTGCACGCGATAGGCAAACTTGCGTGTAATTCTCGAGCCTTCTCGATAGAAATTGGTGCCCTTTATCGCTGACCCATGTGACCTTCGATTCAAACAGTCACCAATTGACACATAGGCCAATTAATATATTTTATATTGGCCCATTGGGTATGTCAAAATGTGAACCATGCTTTCAAGCTGAGTACCAGATGTGGCCGCACGCTATGGTGGATTTAAATAAGGCTTCGTTCCTTTAACTAGTCGCTCACGACCCCGTAACTTGTCTCAAAGGTGCAAGAACTTGCACGAAAGCCTCGAAAATACCTAAGATTTAGAAGAGACGGGTGATAAATTTACTCAAGGATTGGACTTTTTCTTTAAGGCCACCTGGGCATGTGTGACCAGACAGGGGGTTTCTTTAAGGGGATGGTTGCTTTGACGGACCCTTCGCTTTAATTAAAGAGAGACATTTTTCTGCAGCTTGCACGTGCTTGTTTTCCTTTGGCACACGAAGACCTTAAACCTTTTCGCTGTCGACGCACCCTCTAATTAATGGTGAAAATCTGCTATCAACTCGTGCTGTGTACCTACGCCTGAACTGATATGAAGAAGCGAGGCTCTCGTCATCAAATAAAACTCATTACCAACATAACCTCAACATATTTCTAACTCTCGGGACTGTAAACTGTGTACGAGACAACCGGGAAACGACAAGTTCAGTTCGAGTTAAACCACTGCTTGCAGGGACCGGGCTGTGCGTTCAACACGACCGGGGATGCGGAAAATCTGAATTCGACACATTGGTCTTCGACTTTATATGCTGTGTCTGTATGCCTCGTAATTCAGAAGGTTGACACATTGGTAGCAAAGTCACGATTCATTGTCATGTGAATCCAGATGTGATTTTATCATATATTCCCTCAATTAGTCAACGTCATGAAGAAGTTTTCTTTTCTTCGGGGATTTTTTTAGGAAAACATGGCTTTATTCCCACGGAATTCACTTCCGTCCACAATATCAATACAGCTGGAGACATCTGACAGTAGATGTAATCTGTCGTGACTATTTGAAATACTTTCAACCATTAATTATCAATCTGCTCTTCGTGGTTTCTTCTTTTCAATGAGAACTGACAGCTGAGCAGACGACAGTTGTTTACTGGACTAGCGGAACTAACAACAAATAGTGCGGAACAATACGTCAATTAATCGCATCTCCAGGGGATTTTTTCGCTACATGACAGTTACATGCTACACCGAAACCTACAAAACCGGTATATCACTCTGGTATCGCAACACAATTTACCCCCAAGGAAGCAGACGACTTTGGCGGAGTGATACAAAAGATTGATATCGACATGTGACAAGTGAAATCCATCCGCCGATGGCGATGACAATTTAGTACGATTAGATAGGCGGGGCTTCATTGTGTTCGGTATTGTTAAACAAATATTTGCAAATGTTTTGAGGCCAGTGTATCTGACATTCTATTTTGACAGTGACACGAGATGTAGACGATACGGACGTGAAGACATCCTTCGTTCTAAGAAAGCATCGCGAGGCTTTGCGTATATCCTATGTTATCTAATGGCGCTCAGACAGCTGGGGGAGGACCCCGATCAGGCTTTGGCATTGCCCCGGGTTGTAAGAAGGTTGATCTTACTCTGATACAAATCTTAAAAGTTGGTGGGTCTACATATCGCCTGAATCTGTCAGTTCTAGTTGTTGCCTATTATATTTGAATTCTCTAACATCGTGGAGAGATGTTTATTGAAATAGTTTCTAATGTTCAAAGTGAATATAAGTCTTTGTTAAATATCTCCTTACAACATGACGTACACATAAATATGCTGGACCCATGATCGTTGGTATCCACACAACAATTAGAGAGGTACTAAAACTGTGAGCAAGACACAAGGGCATAAACCGTTTGGGATTCTACATGTATTAAGACATGCCAATTGGTAGACACGTGAGATTAGTTTGCTCATGAGGAGACATTACGTCCGACTGAACTGTAGGATCAGTTGGGTGACGAGTCATCTCAGAGACAACCAGGCTGCGTTCCTACGTATGTACGTATCAGTGTAACTGCAGATCGACGTTACCACGTTACGTAGCGACGTGACCCATCCCCTGGACGCCTTCAAAAGCATAGACGTAATAGAGTGAACTGGCTCTACCATGGGCCGCGATATAGGCCTATACAGGGAGAGAAGGATTACGTCAGAGATTACCGACTTAACGCAGGTAGTGAAATTGTATTATTTCCGCCTTAAAACGAGCCGCTGTCTCTGATGTAGAGGTGTGGAGACGCTGTACTGTTATCTTCAAGATACTCTCGATTTATTCGCGGCCGCATAAAATGCTGGAATGGCATATCCGTTACTAAAACGAAATACTAAGGGGATTTTGCGAATTTTGTAATAATAATTATCAACAAGACTGCGCGCCACAACGTTTGAAGTAGAACGTAAATATATGCAGCTATCTCATAACAAATGTACCGATGTGTGTCATTCGACTTTAATCTTACTTTTATTGCAAGGTGATAACTTTTTTGTTCAATCAGTCCAATCTGCAAGTCAAAACGGGGGCTGTGTGTTAAATTGTAATCAAGGACATTACCTGTAGTAAACAGCTGCATACATGGTAAGCCCTAAAGTCTAAAATGAATAAAATCTGATTTTTGTTTTTACAATCGTTTACTTACAGGCGAAATTTGTGTGTGAGACTGCTACCTCTGGGAAAAAAGTTTAAGCTATGAAATATGGACTTTAAAAAGGAACCCTTGGATCTTTAGAAACAATTAGTACATTTGGAAAATACTAGTACCCCACTAATCTAATCTATTGGTAAAAAATATTATTTATATCAATACATAAATGTAAAGACTATATGTCACAGAACAGGTATTTATGACTTGTATTTTCGTTCGTTTTTGCGGAGACCAGCGTGCTAAATGTCACATATGACTTAACGGGGATAGTAGGGGCGGACGTACCTCGGTGGTAGTAGCTTTCAACACCAGCGACTGAAGTTGGGACAGACATTCGTTGATCCGGGCTCTTCGTCGCTTCTCGATCAAAGGCTTGTTATGCTGAAACAGAAAGCATGCACTAGAACGACACCGTCACACCATGAACACAGAGCAGATGCTGTCGATAAGTATAGGAAAAGTCTACCTAAGAAATGCCAATGTTAAAACGTAAAATACATACCATCCTGTCTTATATTAGAGACAAGTGAAATACACGGGATCTAAACGTGTCATCGAACACCCTGTGTCGTCTTGTGCTTGGAGTCCATTTCTCTCCTACCTTACATTGCACATCCACCCACCCACCCACCCCCAACTCATGCATACACACGCACACACACAGGCCCCCCCCCCCCCCCCCCCCCCCCCCCACCCCCCATCATTCCTTCCCTACCCCAGGTATTTTGCTTTTTAGTTAATTTAGATTAAAATAGCTGATATCATGATATTTGATCCATATTTCAGTCGTCCGTCATCTGGCGTGACACCGTATTTCCCCAGGTAATCATAGTCATGTGATTGAAGGAGATGACACATGAATCACCGCACCTATCATGGGAGAAATACAACATCAGAGGTATGGCATAATGACAGGTGACAAATTGACATGTACATCAGTCGCTTGTAGATTATCGGAGACAGTAGATATCCCTGCTAAGTGACGACCATATAACTATAGTCAGGACTGGGACTCTTTGCCCTGTGGCTGGGAACTTTACATCTTATGTTTAAAACATTCGTCATTTCCAGCAGGTATACCATGAATGTCACCAGGGGGAACTGTTCGGTTGTCAACCCAGGTCAAACACGATGGTATCTTACTGCGCATTGAGAGTTTGTTACTACAATCTCCTACTACAGGTGAGGTATTCAGGCAGATATATGTATATACTTTGGAATGGACGGTGTCGTTTTATGTATTAGTAAAGGGGTCTTAGACATCAAGGTAAAGATTGCTTTTATCCAATGACCTTAAAATCGTTGCCAGCACGTCAAACAATGCACATGAAAACTGACGTCTGACATGACAGCATGGCCATTGGACACGTCGTACACACAAGTAATCGTACTCAAACGTGAACACTATGAAACTAATGCATACAAGTGATCACTATGAAACTAGACGAATCATGCATACAAGTGATCACTATGAAACTAGACGAATCATGCATACAAGTGATCACTATGAAACTAGACGAATCATGCATACAAGTGATCACTATGAAACTAGACGAATCGTGCATACAAGGGATCACAATAAGACCCTGTAAATCACGCATACAAGGGATCACAATAAGACCCTGTAAATCACGCATACAAGGGATCACAATAAGACCCTGTAAATCACGCATACAAGGGATCACAATAAGACCCTGTAAATCACGCATACAAGGGATCACAATAAGACCACGTAAATCACACATACAAGGGATCACAATAAGACCATGTAAATCACGCATACAAGGGATCACAATAAGACCCTGTAAATCACGCATACAAGGGATCACAATGAAACAATGCAGATCATACATACAAGGGATCATAGTCATATTCGCGAAATCGTGCGTACAGGTGATCATTATGAAACAGGACAAAAAAAACAAGTGATCACTATGACACTAGACAAAATCATACACACCTTACCACATGAAACTACACAAATCTCGCATGCAAGTGATCACTGTGAACAGGACAAACACTCAAGGCACCATCAAAATGGCACTTCCCATTTACCCGTCAATCTCAAAACATGCGTTCGTCATACATTTGCCTGTGTTTTCTATACTCACACTTTTATAATAGCATAACATTTCTATTTTAACAGTTTCACCAACTGACACGGTATGTCATCATTTGAACACATTAAACACAACTGACGCATAATACTGTGACACCAGCTTGTGTGTGTCAGATTCACAACCTGAAGTGACGAGGCTGTGCACGGGTTACACGACCACAGTTCGCCCACAAATAATAATTGTTACTGGTATACAAACAAGCCAATGTCGCAAGGTCTGGTGTGACATTGGAGTTGACACCAGCACCGAGTCCCCGATGTACACGGGACCGGAGTTGTCAAACGATGTTCACCCTGACTGAGTTGTCAGCCCAGGTGCGAAATGTCAGGTACAGGGAGATCATGGCTATTAATATGTGGAGGCGAATATCTGAAATAAGAAATCTGTCAATCATATATGACATTATTTGCAGATTCAGTAAACAGACACGCATTCATCAAATTCGACGACATTCGTTTCTTCATTCAGTTCTTTTGAGTGGGTGTTAGTTTGAACTTATAATGTAAACTTTTGCATTTTAACCTAGTCGTAAAAATGTTAATGAAATAAATTCAACAGAATTTAAATTCTCTTGTGAAATAATAATTTTAGATCGTTTTAATTGATTTCAAATATATCCATTTCTACATATATTTAAACAAATGTTTATTTACTCAATAATATACAAAGGGAATTTCTGTGACACGTCTAACATCAACGAATCAGAAATACTGACGTCATATACAATAAAAAGTACATATAGGTTTATTTTACGCAAAACTAACCAATAACTTTCCAAGGTATGCCTGTTTGACGTCATGCTTGCACTGTCACTTAATACACCAGTGACAACATGAAGTGCTCTTTGCTATTTTGATAACGAGTACTACTGACACCCGACATGTCGGGGCACAGGGGGCGAGCTACCTCCGCGGAACAAAGCAGGTATTAAGCTGATACTGTAACACATTAATGCTTCTATTGCAGGCTACTGTGACGTGAAGAATTGCTTTCAATTGGTATGTCTACATGTACTGATACTATCAAGTGCACATTTCCACGTGTCCATTTCAGACTTTACATTACATATGACGGGATGTCACGGACAAGGGAATTTTACACTGAAAGTGAACTTGACATGGGACCCTTTATTTGTATCGCAAAACACGAGTGGCTAGTGAACTCTTAAACTTGATACATCTCAAATGTTAATTTAGAACTTATAAGAAACAGCAATTTGGAGCCACAACGTAATTAGCTGGTCTTTGTGCTGTCGTCCCAACTGAAACGTACACCCACTAGCTCGACACACGTCGTATCAATCCTCCACAACACGGGTTACGGCTATTGCATAAAGCTGAAACTGTAGGTTGTTTTAAAATATTATTATTAGTTGATATGCATGAATTACAACGGTGGTGTCGCCAGGAACGTTCGTGTTTACAAACAGTTCACTGTTGCAAGAGAAAGGTATGTGAGAATTATTTGACTGGTACGTTGCCAATTCGTAGTAAGATGCGCGGGACACCAACTGTAATAGGCTGTAATTTGTGCTTTATGATTACTTTGCAGGATTCATCTGAACATGTTCGTCCCTCGGATACCGCATATAGCTTTGTAACCCTCCGCATCCTTGCACCCCTACCCTCATCCATACCCATATCCCCACCCATATCGTAGCCCCCATCCCAGTAACCTCTTTTCATATCTGTAGGAGAGAGAAAGGAAGTCATCGGACCAGTGAAACAATCTGTCCACTCCGGCCACGTACCGCTACAGATAAAAGCCATGCCGACACAGGTATATATGAACATGCAATACCAGAAAATCCGGATTGGTCACGGGCGCCCTGTTTGAACTCTTTCAGGCACGTGCTGTGTTCCTGATTTTCAACAATTTATTATCCTTCCACGGAAGATTGAACTTGATTTGGAGAATAAAGTATCCTTCCTGTGACGTAGAGTGACGTAGAGTACGACCCTTGTGGGGACGGGGGACGCGGGGTGCATAGTCAGGGGACGTTTGTCTGATCGCAAGTTACGGTACCCTATCTCACATCTGAAACTGGATATTTCCTTGAACCATGTAATCAAATGAACACAGTGTGCAATTTTTATCGCAAATAAAAATTAAGTAACATCGCCATGGTAACTAATTGCACAATATTATAAAGAAATGCTTCTCAAGTGTCCGTGCTATCGGAATGACGAAGGAGATTGCATCAGGGTATATATCTCTTTACACATCAATATCTCTGATCTACAAATAATTACAAGTTTTGGTACCACACTAAATCTGTGTTACGAGTAGCTGTTAATCTCTGTCGTTTGATCACTTGCCCGGATGAATTTATATGGCATGATCTAGCGACACGATACTTGACGCCGGGCAGATACCCGACCTCCCCGGTACACCACAGACAATCACAGGGTGTTAGTTTATCTAAAAGGCGGCACATTATGTCAGAGTGGTGGTTTAATGTATGATATCGCTTAACATTTGTGAAAAAAAACATAAGATAAAATTAGTGTCACTCAAGATTGTTTATCACTGAGCAGGAATCTCTCAACCGAGACGTGTTGGTGGAGAGAACGAATGTGTGGGGGACATTCTGTCAGGTGGGGGAACAGGTCGGGAGAGAAGGCGATGGTGGCTATTCTGTACGTATGGGTGACGTCGCGACCAGGATGTGGAGAATGAGTGAGTGAGTGCGATTCACAATTCAGTGTTTGTGTACAAGTGTTTTTATCACACAATACATCATTTTTTTGTTGATGGTAAAAAGTGTTATCCTTAATGAGAGGGAAGCAAACAGCCAAGAGATGGCGATGAAGATTATTGGTTAATCTGTCACATAAGAATTGCATATTGGCCTTTTAGCCATCTTTAGTGTATCATAAAACAAATTACTGAACCAGATAGTTTCAGTTCTGAAACACTTATCCATAGCTATAGTTAAATTGATATAAAATGTCATCCACACGAGCTATTAGCCAACACGCATTGTTATATAACGCAATGAGGCACACACTTCCCTCCACACACTTGCTTTAGCCCGTGCTGGCACAACATGCATTCAGGGTTACCTCAACACACTACATTCCAGGAGAGTTCTGCCAAGTTCAAGTTTGACATGCCCATGTATTGTCTGCTGGACGAAGCCCATTGTTGCAGGGTGTCCGGCCTTGACAATAGCTCTGCTGTCACCAGGGTGTGGGTTGTGCATGTGTACATATTTACTTCTTGCATGTAGATGCGCTCAATACAACAACGTGGGCCTGACAAGCATAGATGTATTAAACTCACGTGGCAGTCCCACAAAGGCACAAGTCAAGCGCGACGTCATAAATAATTATTGACTTTTAATTAGTTGGGTCCGTTCACACGGTTTGGAGAATTGTAAACGTTGCTGGGGTAGCTGACGTGGCAGAGGAGGTCGCGGGCTTGGTGACATCTTGATCGGCTTTAGTGATATATGATATATGATATATGATATGTATATGTATATAGACATGACATGCAGGCTACATTCACATTATAATCCTTAATCAATGAAGTGTTATCAGTTTTATAACACCAGAATCTCGGTGCCATGTGCACACATTAACCTAATCAGGTAAATATGAAACAGAAGGGGAAATATATAAGGATGTATGATAATCAGTGATGCCACCGGGTGTTCATAAGAAGGGAAAGCATGTCCTGTCCTACCTGTCACACCCTGCACTTACACAAGTTGGTAAAAAAGTGAAGCATGACATTTTCACTAATATCAACTTAATAGATACGAAACTAATATATTGGGTTTTTTTCAAAAAGAAATACAAACAAACATATATATTAAACCTATTCATATATATATGAATATATTATAAATAGATAAATAAATAACATATATAACAGTAAAATTGGAAACTTTACTGTGCTTTCTCTCTCTCTCTCTCTCTGTGTGTGTGTGTGTGTGTGTGTGTTTGTGTGTATATATATATATATATATATATATATATATATATATATATATATATATATATATATATATATATATATATTCAAAAGATGCGCAACAGTGAATATTATTCTGTATATTTCGGTATATAAAACTAGCAACCATGTACGAGTGCAGCAGTATCTAGTTAAACAGGGCTTGTCTTTGAGTATCTGTCAAGACATGTTGCGGGTTGGCTGGAGACGCACTACCTAATACATATAGAACATACGGAATAAGTTTTAACATACCCTTCTCTGGGTGCCGTTAGCCGGCCGCTTCCTGGGCGAATCTTCAGTCGCCATGTCTAAACTATTCCACGCGAATCCAGCACGATTATAAAATGTGAAACGTCTAGTGGCACGCGAATCCTAAACTCTGCTGTTTGTAGTCAACTTGCATGGACGAGGGCACGAGCCTGGCCCAATGCCAAACTTTCAACCAATCAGCTTAGCCGTCAGAGCTCGCGAGGGCGTGTGCACAATCTCGCTATACCCTCTGCCCCAACCTAAGGGTGACACGCGAAAACTACGGCCACATCTTACTCATAATTCAAACACTGAAAAGCAGACATATCTAGCTTGAAAGTGACACTGGCAGAAATCTATCTACTAATCTAGTCTACGTGAAATATAATTCGTTATCTTTAATCCTCATAAGTGAGTTTCCTATCAAACAGTGGTGTAACGCAAGGCGACCGCTCTGTTCAGACTTGTTCTGTTTGAGGCGGTGAACTGGGGAAATCTTCAAGTATTTCCTTTGTCAACACATGTAGATGGGAACGAGTTTTCAAGTAGGAAAAAGTCTTGAACCAAGCCAGTAGTACGTTTATAAAACACAACAAGCGGTGCCCGCCCTATTATAGTGTGATGGCGTGACGTGGTGTGGTCCCTGCATACAGGAGTATGAATTAAAGATATAAAGAAACACAACCAATATAATGAAATCTTGTAAATCTTTGCTGACTTTTACGTACATCCAGTAGCATTTTGTGTTTGATATTAACAGTACAGATACAGGTTTGTTATATAAAATGGGTTTGATGACAACTTGTTAAACAATTTTCTGAAATAACGGCATTATGTGTAGTGACAGCATGAGGGGGACGGCAAACACTAATCTTCATCTGAAACAAATATCAACGGGAATAATTTCATCTGATGTCTTGCAAGTGGACACGTGGTTTCATTGTGTACAGCAATTAATAATTTCAATTGATTAATACAAAAATCATATTTACAAAATAAGGACCGGAAAATGATAGTTTTTGAATATCCTTCAGATGGAATAAAAAATCAGTAGACACCAATGTTACATATGCGTTTATTGACATTATTGAGAGGACGCCTTAAAGCTGAATGTAAGTGACAATGAACTGAAACATAAGGTAAACTCATCAATACAACTATCTTGGCATGTTTCAGTATTTACAAGTCCAGGACAGTATACATGTATGTCACGAAAATATCACAATATCTGCATTATTTGTCTTCTGTGAGACGATGAAAATATAAAGGAAATACTTTTCAAAGCGGCGTTTATCCCAACCCACTCAATATTCTGAGACGAGCACACACCACGAAAACATAGCATTTTAAGGACATGTTAAGACACGCTTCATATTGCATACACATTCGCTCGTACACTTGTCTCTTACTTGCACATGTTTTTTTATATATAATTGTAACGTATACACATATCTCTACTTAGGTTTTATACCACAATATGAATATGATATTTCAACAACACTGTTACTGATCAACACCATTGATAAAACATAATTTGTTGATATTATTTTTATTCACCTCAATTTAAAAAAACCCAATCAATTTAGTTTTTTTAATAGCATGAACACATTGGGCACACGATACAGGTAGAAGAATGGACATACTTAAACACATGGTGATTAATAATAGCTTTTCAAAACTAATTGATTTGACAAATTACTTTCATGCTTGAAAGCGTTCCAAATAAATCTAAATAGCCGTTAATGTTGTGTTGTTCATTTCGCAAAGATACATCCATCCTGCTTTTGTGTCGAGCAGGTAAAGTGTGTTCCTGATCTGGCTGTGAGAGTAAAGTGTGTTCCTGATCTGGCTGTAAGAGGAAGTTGACGGAGTCGCAGTTAGGATCTGAATTCTTGGAGCGACATCACTTCTCTGTGAAGTGTCCGCGGGGCGAGGAATCCTCGCTATCTGTATGGCAAACAACCAGCGGTGATAGGGAATGTGATAGGGGTAAATGAAGCTGCTCTCTTCAAATCCCGTCTTTGTACAATCGCTTAAGAAAACACAATTTGTATGAAAATACACATCCACTGCAAGTGGATAAAACGCAAAGTGAAATATTTGATCGTCTTAAGGGTCGTAGATAGTGATTACCTGACAACTTCTTTGCACCTTTGACATGTTAGTACTATTTTCCTACGCGTGCTCTTGCATCTATTTCAACTGAAATAGATTGAAACGTGAACAGAAAAAGCAAGGACCTAAGCGATCTCCCTGCCCAATCCCAATTTTGAAACAGCTCGCGTTAAAATCTCTCTGTGTTACAAGGCGCAAAGGTTACAGCTGGGATCGTACCGACATATGAAGATGAAATTAGGTATGAATCGGTGGGGTACTGGAGTGGGATTACCTCCCCACGGCTGCAGCTACAGGTGGGCGCGCCGTGTGAACGGTCCACATAACTCCCAGATCGTAACCAACAAGGCGACTGTAACACAACACGGACACATTGGACGCGTATAGTTACATCCCTAGTAATTGCCCCTTTTTGATCCGACAAATTACATTATTTACTCAAGTGTTTGTCTTACCAAATATAAGTGAAAATGTGTGAAGTATGAATTTGTTATTAGTTCTTCTTTCTTATCCCAAAACTGTCACTATAGTTCACGCAATGGACCTCGGAATATGACTACCATGTTGAACGTGATCCCTGACAAGATACAGTATCATTACATGTATATACACGAATACATTACTGGTAGATAGACCCCTAGGTAATATAGCTAAACGAAATCGGTGTGTGGCGATCTTACAACATTCCGATGCATCTTTAAATGTTTCATGAATGTCATCTTCACCCGCCAGTTAGACTGTTTGATTAGCCACTGAAGCCAATGTCACGACACCGAGTGAACGATACTTAAAACGTTTGACTTGTCCACAGTGTGAAAAAGAAAGTTTATATTTACAGTTATAAAGCTAAGCGACTGAGACATTGGACAGAATTCTGAACGTTTGAAGCAGGTTTGACAGGATTACAGACAGAGGATAGACCCCCAAAGATAATGTCTATAACGGACAGTGGGCATCCCCAGACTGTAAACACAGACAGGGACTACTACCAGATATTAGACAACACCAGGAAGGTAGCCCTTCCAATTGCAATAAACTATGAATCCGGGCAATGTAGGCAGATGAAGGCGCCAGACGCCCGTCAATATAATATTCCTGTAGGTTTAGTTTACTCTGTGTCGGGGTGCTTCGTTTTACGATAAGCCATTATATTCCTTAGCTTTTGTTACGCGGTGACTTCTAGAGAGGGTCTTAGTGCGGAGTTGATACTTGATAAGATGGACACAATATACAGAGTAATTAGCTGCCAGACTCTGACTGGTCTCGTATTGCGGGATAACACCGCCATGGTGGGCGTACCCCGTCCCAGCTGACCGTGCAGCGTGTACCTACCTACCCATGCACGACTTACTGTAAAGTGACATTCAACCAACCTCACATACTCACTTTTAATTTAAGGTTAATCCGAATTTGTACCCGTTATATTATATCATTTACAACGTGATGTGATTTCTGTATGTTAAGTCAATTGATGGCTCACCTCCCAATAGGAAAAACACCTACTGAAAATCAGGCAAATATGATTATATTTATATACTGATCCAGTGTGGATATATGGCATATTTGGGGGAATATATTCTTAAAAAGAAAGGAAAGATAACAGTTTTCAACTGTTTGTAAAAGACAAGTTGTGTATGGAGATTCGACATTATATTTTGACTGGTGGTGATGGGCAGATACGGGATGATGGGTGTTCAAGAGAAGATGGGCGGCGGATGGGAGTGTCGCAGGATTACTGAACAGTTATTCGGCTTATTTTCCATAAGTGAACGCCGAAGGGCTGGGGTGAATGATCAATTCGTCACGCCTGGGTATCCATGTACCATCGGAGAAAACTGATAACCAATGTTGAAAAAATGTTGATACAAATATTGAGTGGAACAAAAGACTGACCACACACTTAGTACAGCGGGTTGCTCGAGTCGGGGTAGCTTTCTTAACAATAGACCCTTGATGTGGAGAGATTTGCCTTGGCGTGTGATGGCTCAATTTCGGTGGGACTGTTTTACGAGCGGATTATGTCCAATGGCAAGACTGAAATAGACGATCTTTGACTCAGAAAACAACACTAAATCAGAAACATTATGCCGGAACCGTCTCGACTGTACATGAGACTTGTAACATACGCCGATGCAAAATATACAGCGCTGTAATCCTGTCCTTTATACCTTGAGAAACCGAGGTTTTCCCAGGCCACCAAGCCATCCCCAAAGCTGTAACTGTCGTGTTATTGCTGTCTTATATCGTCGAGGTCAACAAATCTGCAATTTGGGTTGTTTAATCCTCTTGCGCCGATTTCGCTGTCAAAGATACGTTGAAAATGAATGTGAAGCAGAATACAAATCCACGGGGGATAATAGTATTAATACTCATGGAATACTTAGAAGTTATATAAGAGCAGGAAGCAAACGCACCTGAAGGTATTAGTAGGTATCTTGAACATCATCATTTCAACGCTTTGTGATAGTTAGTTTGATATTAAGAAACATCCTTGTACATGAGTCACCTATCCTGGCATTTCCATGACAATTTGCCTGCACCATCAACATGTTATAACATTTCTAAATCATTTGCAAGACCCATGTAAGTACATAATTATAGGCCAGTGTCTACGTTATCTTCCATCATTTTATCGATCTGAACACAATGACACAATGTGTTTCCTATACCCACGTCCCCAGTGAATCACTCAGGGCAAGAGACATTACTTTATTTACGTCCGGACAGAGAACTGCTGCAAATGAAACTGTTGGCGGAAACACGGGACGTCGTCATGTTTCCTCCTTTCACGCCTCTCTTTCTTCCCGTCACCAAGCAGGTATCACAGGTTCACCTTTAACCCACGCCGAAAATATAAACAGAAAGTAATCAGGAGGCATCACGTGATCAGAATAACACGCCGAAATGTCCGACTTGCTAAGAGGCGGATATTTAAACAGCCTCTGGTCTGCCTGATGTGTAGAGTTTGGCTCCCATAACAGAGTTGCAGCACACTAGCGATTTAGGTAGACATTTAAAGCTACTTTCCTTGCTATTACACTCATCACGTGATTGAAGCA